AAGATAGTTAAACTCATTTAGCAAGACAGAACTAAGACGTTGATTTGGGTTGATATCAATATCTGAGTGTGGTGATGGTGGAGTAGCATGAAAGCCGTCTCCTTCCAAATTTACTAAGCTTTCTTCAGCCATGATTGAAGGACAAGAAGCTCACAAATCTCTCAAGAGAACATCACAGAGACAGGCCGGTTAGGGTCACTGCTCTGATACCATATTGTATTTTGTGAATGGTATATTCATCATAAAACAATCAGGTACAAGAGATAGCAATATATATGTGCTAGAGGGAAGAAAACAAGACTACCTATCCCTCCTTGATTTACGTCTAAAGCTAACAAAAAAGAACAAATAAGACACATCCCTTGAATTAAGGGAATTGACAAGACAAATAAGACAAATTGAGGAAATTGACAACAAGAGACACATCCCTTGAATTAAGGGAATTGACAACACTATCTATCACCCTAAAATCCTTTGTACGGTGAACATGCAACCTAACCTAACCCTAGTTGCCATTCTTTCTTCCAATAGTTGTTCATGGGTGATTCTGATCAACTAATGCCGTCGTCCGCGGACGTGCGCAATTCATTCCAACACTCCCATTCTAGTGGAGGAACATGGAAGTGGAGAGAGAGGAAGAGAGTGAGAGAGATTATGGGACAGGGAGTGTGGAGAGAGGGAGAAAGATTTATTTTGTATTTATTTTTTAACTTTTTAAAATTAAAGATATTAAAATCATTTGTAAGTAAAGCTTAAACAAAGAGTAACGAAATTTTATTTTATGAAATTACATTAGTATACTTAATTTTTTTGTTGTGATAGAAGACTAAATAATATTTTCACCACAAAAAAAATTATATTAATATGTACTTTAGATGATATAGTAAGTTATGAACTTTGTTTATCTAGGTCATTTTTCTATTAAAAAGAAAGAAAAAAGAAAGAAAAAAGAACGATGAGTTCAAAACGAGATGGAGGCCGATTTCATGTTTTGCCTTGGTTTTTGTTAATCACACTCTCCACTCGCCAATTATCGAACCCATCGCCCACTATTTGTCCCTCTCTCTCTCTCTCTCTCTCTCTCTCTCTCTCTGCAACATCAAATGGACCAAAATCCAAAACCCTAACTGAACCCAACCGCACAATCACAGAGATCCACAGCCCCAAAACAATGTCATTCACTTGCCTCCAGCTATTAGTAAATTCACCTCCGCGACCTCGACTCGCCCTCTACATCGCCGCCGCATCTTTCCCCAAAACCCCAGCCATTCTCTCTCTCCCAATCATCAGTCGCCGGCATTTCCCAATCTCAAACAACAGTCCTGTAAATCCCCAAAATTTCAGCTCCCATCAATCTCGTCTTGGAGTGTACAACTCCGATGCAGCTCTGGAACCAAATGACGCCGTCAGTGGTGCCTTCAATTTGGACTATTTCTTGTCGATTGCGGAGTTTTTGTGCATTGCGTCGTCGGCGGTTGTTTCGATTGGTTTCGCGGTGAATTGCGCGGTTTTGAGCTTAAAGAAGACGTCTTTAGTGCCAATGGGGAACTGGGTTTTGGCGTCTGGGGCTGTGGCGTTGGTAATGGCCGTAGGGATTGGGGCGTGGATTCGGCGGCGGCAGTGGAGGCGAATGTGCAGGGAGTCGGTGAAGGGTAGGATGGAGTTGAATTTGTTTGAGAGAATTGAGAAATTGGAGGAGGATTTGCGGAGCTCGACTAGAATCATTCAGGTTTTGTCAAGGCAGCTCGAGAAATTGGGGATACGATTTCGGGTTACCCGTAAGGCTTTGAAAGAGCCCATTGCTGAGGTAATGGAAACTTTTGGATAACTGATAAGTTTGGTAAAGTCTTCTGTTTATAGTAATGTAGATGATTTTTCGGAGAATTACTGTTTGACAGAGAAAAGGAAACACTTGAACTATTTTTGCAAGCATTGGCCTTTCTAGTTGGATTATAAATTGAGATAAGGTCATGGAAATGTAGTATCAGAGTAAAACTAAATAGCTTTAGAAATTAATGAAGTGTTTGGTTATAGTTTAGTGGTTTAAGTTCGATTATAGTTTAGTACAAAGACAAAAATGATATGAGGTTATAGTTTTGTTTGGGTTTCTGTTCATAAGTAACATGTATCAACTCTACATGACACGAATAGTATACAGATTGGTTAGTGTCCAGTGATCTTACATTATTAATTAAACATGTTGAGTTAGTCTTGACTAGTACTTGATATGAACCTAAAATGGCATAACTCAAATAGGATGCAGTATAACTTGATTACATGGTTTGCACCCGGAATAGTTGTAAGTATCAGTTGAGTATATCTGTTACTTTTTAAGCTCCATCCTATAGAGTGACCTCTGAGGGAATATGAAACCATGTATTACACACTATATGGTTAAGTTAGTGACGATTTGATTGGTAGCTTTGTGCTGGTGGTTTCTGAAGAGCTCATTTTGTTGTTTGTCAAATTGTGGAAATTGCAGTATATCTTGACATTTGGATATGTCATCTATCTGTGCCCAATTGATTTGAGTTTTTCCCCATCCAAAAATGTTCAAATACACTGTCCACAAATGTGGAGTCTTAAGAATTTTGAGATTGGTTAATTTTTATTATTCAAAGGCCACACAGTTAGAATCTGTTTGCTATAGCTCAGTAGGATTGATTGTTCTTCAAATGGTTTCTAGATTATTACAATAACCACACCCTTGGAGATTTGATTTAGTCCCATAATCACCACCACTTTCATTGATTACTGGTTAAGACTTACGTCAAAATTTGAAGTTGCTTGTGGAAACCCATTCATCCACCTGTTAGTGTAACACCTTGGTTTCTGTCATCATTAACCTCAAAAAATAAATGTGAAAGTCTATGATTCTATCTTGCATCAGGCTAGTATTGGCACATTGCAATAAGTGTCTATGGAGTGATAATATTGGGATATACATGCCTATGATTTCAGTTGCATGCTGTATAATCTATTTCTTGTACAGTTTATAGCTTTTAAGTACTTGTACATCCCTTTGAATATGGAAACAGATACTGAGTGAAAGCTAATGCTGTAAGATTTGAATGGTGAAATTAGTATATCATGTAGAGCGCTGAAAAAGGTGAGGACTTTATGTGCTTACTCATAAACATGTGAAACTATCTCATGAAGCACCTCTTAGAGTCTCTACACAATGGAGCATCTATATATGTTAATAACTCAATTTTGGTACGTGAGAATTTTTAAGGATGATAACTGTAGAAGTAAGATCTGTATGGCTACTGGATTCTAGTGGATGCTTACCATGTTCTCAATCAAGTACGAGTAACGATTATATACAATAGAAGAGTGTCGTCTAGGCCATATGGTCATGTGCTTGGCTCGAATGCTGAATACGCTAGGATTCTTTTCAAGAACAATGGTAAAAGAGATCTAAAATCAAAGCAGCTATTCAGAATCCTCTACTTCTGTGGTGAGCTGTACATGCAAAAAAGGTAACCTATTTAATAGTCTTCATTACCTTTGCCTGGTGACCGAATCATATTTTCAGGCTTTTCAACTATTCTCTCCCTACAGCCAAAAAAAGAAAGGACGCATCGTTCTCCTTTCCCTGCATGATCATTAATCATTGTGAAATGTCAAAGGTCATGGCCATGAGAACAAAGACACTCAACGTCAGAACCCATTGATCTTGGAAAATGGTTCTGTCGAATCTCTGGTAGCTCCTGAAATAATTTTGTCGAACTGGAGACCATTTTGCAGAAGATTGGGACAGGTTTAAACAAGTTTAGACACTTAGCAGTAGATGCAAGATAGTGTGGGTAATGGTATGAGTGGTAATCAACATGGGTAAAGTTGGTACAACAAAAACTCAAGGTTCTTTGGCTACAAGCCTATGCCATGCTGAAATGTTTAGGACCTTAGGATATTTACTGCTAACCTTGAAAAATGGATTAATTCAATATGTTGAAATGCAGAAATAATGTAATCTTGTTTGCTTAAAGTATCAAGAAACTTGTATCAGATAATATTGCAATCTATCTGGCACTTCATCTAACTAGTTTGTTGTTCCTGAAGACTGCAGCTTTGGCTCAAAAGAATTCTGAGGCCACTCGAGCATTAGCAGCACAAGAAGACATTTTGGAAAAGGAGCTTGGAGAAATTCAAAAAGTTTTGCTGGCAATGCAGGTCAGTGTTCTCCACTCCCAGCTGGTGGCTAAACAGGATTTAGAGTTGTCAGATTTCCTTAGCATGTAGACTCGAGGATCAAATATTTTCAATGATTTTGGGAATAATATTAACTTCTATGGAGTTCTTCCATTAGTGATTCAGCTGGTAGAAAATATCGTTGATTAGTGTGGTTATATTCCCTTCTACAAGCTAGAATGCCAAGGTTAATGGACTTTCAGTGTTTCTATCCGTTTGTTATTGCACTCTTATCTGCTTTTCGAATCTCTGTCATGGATTCTCTAGGTTAACAAAAAATTATTAATTGTGAGATCCAACTTTTGGCGTCATTATTTTGAATATAATATGTTTCGCTGATTGTCATATGCAGGAGCAGCAGGAAAAACAACTTGAGCTAATTCTTGCAATTGCGACTTCTGGGAAGCTACGGGAAAGTAGACAGGTACACGACCAGGAACAAAGTACCACTATAGTACCTATTTCAAGTGAGGAGGATTTAAAACAGAAGGAAGCCCACCAAATATAGTCTGTTGATGCAAGCAACGCAGACTACCAAGGATTTTGGAGCTACAAATTCTCATGTAACTGTTATTCCAACGTTGTTGGTCACAAGCCAAATACGTGGATCTGTATTCCTCTCAGGCGATTATCAATGCGGCTTTGTCCCCGGGGGTATGAGGTTTTCAGCCAAGAGAAAAGATTCTTAGGCTTGTTGGACGTACGCAGTGCTGGGTGGTAACGGATAAACAACAAAGAAAGAATAATTGTACTACAGAATTGCAACCATTTGAGCGTACAATTGTCGCAATAAGGTAGGAATGTAATTTCTCCTCGCTCGTGTTCTGTAATTGTCAATTGCGAAATCAATCCGATTTCGTGTCACAAGGTACATGTTTCTGGTTTCCCGGATCAACTTGGTCTCATGTAATGCCATCGGTTTCTAACTGACGCTTCAAAACCTGATCATTTCATGAACTTTGGCCCCTACGTCCTAGTTCCTCCATGACTAGCCGTGGGTTCAAACTTTGATAACTATTTTGTTTTTAGTTTCTTGGTTAGACAGGTTCCACTTGCATTGATGCACAAACATCTCACACATGGAAGTTTAATGCCGATTATTAATGGCAGATAATTAGTAGGAAAAAGAACACTTCTTACACCAGGTTACAGGTGGTTGAATCTCTAACCTCCTCCGGAACTCCATCAAGAAAATTCAAAGAGATCGGAGCCAATCGAACCCACCATTATCGAGATAAAAACCATCATGGAGCGTCATTTCTACGTCCTTCGTACTGTTATCGTCTTCCCATTCTTCACCAAACATCTCTTCGTCAAATCATCCATTACATCCCAAGGTAACTAGCCAGAAGAAACCCAGTAATTTGAACAATCATCCCAGCCCTGAGAATTTCTTGACAGATTTTCATCAAAATCCTCAGAATACTTAGTTGCAATAACTAAAACTGAGTATTCCACGAAACAGGTAAAGCATGATTAAGAAAACAACCAAGAAAGTTAACAATGATCAGTTTATTATGATTTTAACTTGCTGATTTAGTGGATTAGAGAGGTCGGTCAAAAATTAACTACAAGGTTGGCTACTAAATAACCTCATATATTGTTTCATGCATGAGCTAGTAGCATGTAATCTACAGTTAAATATCTCTAAATTAATAGCCTTCAGACCAAAGAAAATCTATTAATTTAGCAAATATAAAATAATCAATGAATTAATAATTTATTAAATTATCAATTAATTAGCTGGACCGGCCCTGAGGGCAGTTCATGTAGGCACCCGCTTAGGAGCCCCACTTCAGAGGGGTCATAAAATTTTTTATATAATCTGTAAATTACATATAAATACATAAAAAGTAAAAAAAAAAAATATATATATATATATATATATTAAATTTCATTTTTTGGTGCAATGGAAATGTTCAACTTCCTTTTTTTTTTTTGGTGTTGAGTTCGAAACATGGAGTTGCCTTTTTAGTCACTAGTTTTTTCTTGTTTTTAAAAAATTACTCTCAATCGATTTGTCCAAATGCATATAAAGTTATAAAACTCAAGTCCCTTTGCAATCTTTATTTTTCTTTCAACTTTTCAATCTCTTCATTTCTATCGAATTTTAAATCAACTATTACATGGTCTTGAAGATTGTACTTTAGGTAATCAAAACTTTGAATTTATATTTTGCTTTTCAATAATTTATTATTCAATGGATAATTTTAATATTCAATTCGTTAGTGTGACGTTTGTGACATCCCCACATCGCCCAGGGGAGTGATCCTTAAATGTATATTCTCATCCCTACCTAGCACGAGGCCTTTTGGGAGCTCACTGGCTTCGGGTTCCATTGGAACTCCGAAGTTAAGCGAGTAAGGGGCTAGAGCACTCCCAGGATGGGTGACCCACTGGGAAGTTGCTCGTGAGTTCCCAAAAACAAAACCGTGAGGGAATGGTAAGCCCAAAGCGGACAATATCGTGCTACGGTGGTGGAGTCGGGCCCAGGAAGTGGTTCCGCCCCGGGCCGGGATGTGACAACGTTGATTTTAGAAAAAACACAAGAGAAATCAATTGGTCATTGTTGAATTTATTATACTCGTCAATCAAGTTTTATTGTTCTTTACTCTCTTGATTATCAAGTTTTATTGTTCTTCACTATCGATTTTAGACTCTTGACTGCAAACATTTAGTACATTTGCCTCTAAAAATGTAAGACGTGTAATATTAAGTAATGTTTGGATATCTATCTTCTTTTAATATTAATTTTTAATGATATTTGATATAAAAATAAAATTTTTTGTGTATTTAGCGAATTCTTTTACATATATACATATATATATATATATATATGTACAAAAAACAGGGAATCAGAGAACTTTAGAGCCCACTTCAAAGGCTCACCTAGGGCCCCAAATTCTCTGGGCCGGCCCTGTTAATTAGTAATATTAAATATCGAAGTATTCCTTATTTTCTTAAATACAATACATTGCATTTAGTTTTTTCTTTTACGAACTAATAATTTTATATATTTGTTTAATCAAGTAAAATTTCATGAATATACTTATTTTTCCTAAAAATAGATTGTACAGTGTTCAATGTACTACATTATTCTATTTTATGAACATTTAAGCAAACAAAAACCCAATTTAAATAAACAAAAGCCATAGTGATAAGAAATTATTAATTTACATATTACGTGGGATCTATATGAATTTTTTATAATGCATTATTGATAAATTTAGCGAATTATTAATTTTGCACATTATACACAAATCGGAACCGGCCAAAAATATTATTTAACAAAGGTTATTAATTTACCGAGTACTAAATTATGGATGTTCTACTGTATATTTGAGGTGCAGTGCAGTGCAGTGTGTGAGAGGATTTTATTGAGGCAAGGTGTGGTTATGAGGTGTTCCAATTTAAGCATACCATCCTACCTAGAAATCAAACTTTAATCATAAACTTGTCCATTTCGATAAAAATTTCAGAGATTGGTAGTTATGCTTGAGGAGTGGCCGCTCTAGCCCATTTTTACTGAATTCATCTCATGGGTAAGTTATATTATTAGTTGGTTTAAGTTGTTAATTTGTTTAATTTATATATCTGTCTGTTGATTGTTTTATTTATTTGTTCTTTTAGGTGTTTGCTTATGAGCGGGCTTACAACTGAAGTTTTTGGTGGAAATTTGAAAAAGGCTCTTAGACCCAAGGAATTCCCATTGATGGGGTGATCGAGATTCTACACAAAAACTTCAGTTGAAAGCGTAAGAAGGTGGTCATAAGCAATCACCTAAAAGAATATACAGACCAATAAACAAAATATATATAAACTGAACAAATTAACAACTTAAACTAATCAATCCTATAACTTATCATGAATATACAAATCCGCAACCCAAGCATAATACCAAACTCTTAAGTTTCAATCAAAAGGTACAAGCAATGGGAACCAACTAGGGAATTGCTACGATTAGATATTATGACCCATCCGATAAAATAGAGCATTGCTCGAATGTTTCTTTCCACCGCCACCCATTTATGATTAAACTGACCTCCAATCTTCTGACCACTAAAGGCAGTCTCCGAAACCTCTATCTCAAGAGCCTCGTTAGCTTATGATTACTAGTTTTATCGATAACTGACTGCAATTCACGGGAAGGTGTGTAGAGCTTCGGATTTTCTCGTGTGCTTTCACCACCTCTGTTCCTCAGTTGCCCCGCATTGGCACTGTTGCTTGTAGTTTTTTTCCCTACAAGCTTCCTTCGGTTTGTGGTGCAGATCTGCAGGGTGCTCCTTAGAAGATGTTGAAATTTTATTTTTCTCCGCTTCTGAAGCTTTGGATGGCTTAATTTCTGGTGACTGGTTTACGTTGGTTGGATGGGATCTTTCCAAAGAAGGCGGCGGTGGATGCAAGTTGTCCATGTTTCTTCGCTTTTTTCTTTTTCTTTGGGCTCACAACTTTCTGTTGGGTTGTATATTGTGGTCCATATCTATATTTTATGTTTGTTGTTTTTGGACCTCTTTCGTGTAAATTTATTTGGTTGGTTTAATGAAGTTGCGAACCTTGCTACCAAAAATAAAAAGAAAATACCCGAAAATAAGACATTTCGTAATCTTGGAATAGAAATAGAATTTTTTGAATATGCACACGGCATGCACACCAAGATTTTTCCTACACCTTGAAATGATCATATTGCCCTCGTATATAAACGAGTTATTTCCTCCCATTTTCTTATTTCTCTCTCTCTACTCTCTCTTTCCCTCCCACCCTCTCTCTAAAATTGATATTTATTGGATGTTCTTAGATTAGTGAAAGATAATGAAAAATCGAGTTGGAAGATTTGATTTATTTGGAGATTGTTTGTGTTTGCTGATTGGCCCTTTTAGGAAATGAACACATTTCTATGTTTGCAGTTGCGGATTGGAGATTTTTTCCTCAAATCATCATCTTTTTCCCCAAATTCGAAAACCCAGTTGGAAGATTTGATTTATTTGGAGATTGTTTGTGTTTGCTGATTTACCCTTTTGGGAAATGAACACATTTCTGTGCTTGCAATTGCAGGTTGGGGATTTCTTCCTCAAATCATCATCTTCTTCCCCAAATTTTAAATCCCATTCAAAACCCAGCTGAGTCAAAACAATCTGCAGTCCAAAAAATTTTTAGATGTCGAAGAAAATCCATTATGAAAAACTAAAGACACCATTTTTTTGCTGCAATCTCTCTCTCTCTCATCCACCGATGAACGCTTTCTCCCTCTAAGTTCAAAGAAAATTTCAAATTTGTTATCTGTAACAATACGTGCAATGACATCGATTTTGTTGTGGACGTGCATCATGCAATTGACAACGTTAGGGGATATGCGGGGCCTAGATTTTGGAAATTCCTTAAAGGTCTGTAGTTTACAAATCTTTGACCTAAACTTAGATTCTGGAAATCCCATTAAAAATCATCTATTTCCAGTGACATGCACACGACATGCACATGACGACATTCACATGATATGCTCACAAATATGAGCCAACCCAAAAACTCAGAGCTCATAGCTCTCTCTTTGAAAACAGAAAAATGACGTCACCACCATATACACTATATGCACACCACATGCACATCATATGTACAGTACATACACATGATATGTACAGAACTGGAGATCGAGCAACGAGCTGCTTTTTCGCATTAATAAGAAACTTTAAAGGCAATCTATTGGTACATTGGATACAATTAAAACATAATTGGTACGTATATAAGGTTACAACAACAATTTGAAAAGTCTTGTTATGTTTATCAACCACTGCTTAAACATGCACGTGGAAAATATGATACTCATTGTTGTTATTTCATGGACACATATGACCCTTAACGTCCTCTAAGCTTTTTCTTAATTTTGTGTTTCGCCAAGGCCAACTAGGTTGTGGTCATACTCCCTAAATTCCAAGGCCCAATATACGTGCATTACACATAGTGGACATTCACGCTTCTCATATTAAGTTGTAGCATGAATAGTTGCACACCATGCACACCCCATGCACATTACGGGAAAAATTTCACAAATTTATGTAATTGTACACTTGAACGAAAAATTGTTCCATCCTAGTTTTGTGGCACGTCAAAAAGTAAAGTTTATTCCACAACTCATAGGCCCCAACGTGAAATACAAACCCTAATTTAACTTCTAAGTATTAATTCATCTTACAAACAACCCATTTATTCCATAAATCATGGATGTAGAAATTTGGAACTAAACACCCTACCTTACTATACCTACCAAAGCTTCAATCGTCGAAAAAAATGGAATTTTTCAGCCAAAACAAAAAATATGGCACAAAACCCAGTTCACTCATCTCATCTCTCTCTCTCTCTCTCTCTCTCTCTCTCTCTCGCATCCCTTCGTTCGAAATCAGAGGTATGAGGTCAACCCAAAACCCAACCACTATTCTCACCTCTCTTTGGACTTCCATCTCTTCGAAATCTGAGCTCAACCTAAAAACCCAGAGCTCATAGAGCTCTCTCCACATCCATCTCTTCCAAATGAGTGATAGGAGCATATTTAGGCGACTTACTTAGCTTGTTTTCATGCATTTATGTTGTTAATTCATAGTTGTTTTAGTAGTTTAAGCTATTTTCGTTTGTTTTTAGGTCCTAATGGCAAAGGGAGCAATAAAGTGCATTTTGAGGCTATTTGGAGCATTTTTGGGCATGGATTGGATAGCTTAATCATGGAGCAAAGAGGATGGACGAAATTGAAGACTAGAAGAGCTAGGAAAGGCTACAAATCTGGTGGAAGAAGTCCTAATACAATGAAGATAAGGAAGAAGCAAGAAACAAGGAACCTTATCCAACCGTATCTTATCCTATCCTAGAAACCTTATCCTATCCTATCTCTAACATTATCCTATTCTATCGTATCCAAATCAGGTGGGGACTTAAACTTAGCTATTTAGGTGGGATTAGATATATATCTAAACACTTAGAACAGATTCTAGACCCTCATTCCTTTGTATGCCGCATGTACACCACTCCAAGTAGGTTTAGGAATTGAAAACCTTCTCCTACTCTTATATCACATGTTCATGTCCCTTTAGGATTAGGAATCTGTTCTAAACCCTTCTTTCTAGAAGCCTTATCTTATCCCTACAACCCTTGCCGCACCTATCCTTCTAGAAGGGCCTAAATCCATGCCGTGCACTACCTATCCCAATCCCCTTTGGTTTCTGCCTTGAATTAACCCTTTTGCATTGGGATTGTGCAATCCTTTTCCTCCACTAAGTGTGCCAAACTAGCCTATATAAACAACCCTTGCCGCACCATTTAGACCACCACCCCTTCACACAACATTAAAACATTCATTCAGAAATCCACTCTTTGCCGTGACCTTACAACCACCCATCCATCATTCCCCTACTTCCACACCTCCATCCCAACCTCCATACACCACCATCAACCCTTGCCGCACCACCATACATACCTAAATCCATCCAAAACCCAGAAAATCATCCACAAACCCACCATAGACCTTGTGCCGTGACTTAGCAAGGAAGAGGAGAAGGAAGACCAAGCCTTGGGCGTTTGTGCACTCGAGTTGGAGTGTTGGACGTTTCTAGGTGTAATCTATCTTTTATTTTCAATGTTTAAATCTATGTTGCTTTGTTTTGTCATGAACATGAGAGGCTAAACTCGTTTTAGCCTAGGGATGCTTTGAAACCATGATTGCGTTTATAATATGAGTTGATTAAGTCCAGTTGTGATTTCATAAATTGTGAACGCAATTTACTTAACCGTTTGACGGATAACTTATTCTTGTATGTTTATTAGGGAGGCCTACTTAATTTGCATGCTTGAATTTGGGGCTAGAATATTAGGGTGTTTCACATAATCGTCACAAACTAATATTCACAAGTAGTTAAGGTTGTTTTCACAATCATGTTAAGTAAATTCCTAGCATGAGTATCATGATGTCATAGTTACAAGTGCTTTGTCAATACTTATGATTTCCATTGAACGTAATGATCTTTGACCGTATCTCTATTATGATGTCATGTAGGGGACTTTTTGAAGAATGCTTTGGGTTGTCGTATGATGTCATCCAATCCACTAACTTAAGGGAAATCTGAGGGTTAATTAGCGATGTCACGGTTAATCTGGGGTGTTGAGGTTCATGGTTTATCGAATTAGCAACTGGAAATCAATTTATGTTAGAAAGTATCATGTGTGGAGAAGTATCCCTTGGCTATCCCATCATCCATAAGTTTTTCTCAAATTCGTCCAAAATCTGTTTTAAAGTTTTAAGTTACTTGTTTTCTTTTATATTCGTCCAAAATCAAAACCCCTTTTCTTACTTGTTCCAAATCTGTCCAAAAGAGTCTTTTTGAGTCTTTAGAGTCAAAACTAAGTGTATTTTCGTCCAAATTGAGTCCTAAAGTCTAAATTGAGTCTTTTTGGTTGTTTTGAGTTGTTTTGAGTCTTTAAAGTTTGTTTTGAGTCATACAAGTTAGTAAGAGTCTTGTGAGTTTATTTAAAGTGTTTTAAAGCCTATTTTCACTTCTTTGAGTCAATTTTCATTAGATTAGCAATCCCTACTAATCCCCGGCCTAGAACGATCCCTACTTATATCTATACTACAATTGTCATAAAGAGGGTTTAATTTGTGTGCTATCTTTTATCACATCAATGAGAAAAGTGATGCAATGGGCTGATGATTTTTAGTATTTATATATGAATATTTTAGTAATTTTAGTTTCGTGCATAGTGTGCATGACTTGTGCATGACCGATTTGTCCTATTTATGTCCCAAGATTAACAAAATGTCATATTTTTGGGTATTTCCCAAAATAAAATGTTAATGCATAGTAAACTGAATGTTACAAGACCTAGAAGAGGTTTAGAAGAGGCCATGGCAAGAACTCGAGAACGAAATCGAGCGGTGGATCAAATTCAAATGGCGCGCTTCAGATTCTGTTCTTGAGCGAGCATTGACTCTGTGATCGCGTCTTCTACAACCTCTACGACTTTGTGATCCACAACTTGACGAATTGGAAGGGAGACTTCAAATTGGTCATAAGGGATGGCCTAAATTTGTAGACTAAATGTGCAAACTGAATGATATATCTCTAATAAGAAATAAGCACGTTAATCAACACCCAAGTAATAATCCAACTATCAACTTCTATGTCATTTTGTTTACAAAATTTAGTCTATACATTTAGTTTACTCTTATTTTTATTCTTCTTATGAATCTTGAAACTAATGGTATAAGAGAGTAGAGAATGGGTGGTGGAACGTTGGTGTACAATTAGAGAGAGGAGAGAAAAAGTCGAAGAAAAACAAAGGTAAATTGAAAAAAGAGTGGGGTTGGATATTTTTATCCTTGCATCTAATGGATATTTGACAAAAATCTCATTTTTGGATTAGATTTGTTAACAATCTTTGTCACGAGGGTTTAAATCCCAAGTTTTTTATTTTATTTTAATTATTATTATTATTATTATTATTATTATTATTATTATTATTATTATTTTAACATTGGGATATCTTTTGAATAAGCTATCACCATGAAGGCCATTAATCTATTTTAGTCAAAGTTTTGTCATATATTATTTTGGTGTAAATAGAAATGAAATCACTCCATACAATTTATATTAAATTTTTGTGAGAATGCATGTATCTCAGTCTTTTCTAATAACGTATCTTTACTACAAATTTCATAATCAGTACAATTTAATTTTTTTAATTTTCATTCAAAAATCATTCTAACAACAACAACAACAAAAAAAAAAAAAAAAAAAAAATCAAATCCGATATCATTTAATCATTTAATCATTTAATCATTTAAATGTATTAAATAATAGATAATTTATCATAACATGTTATTTGATACTCACACTATGGATTAATTTTAAAATGTATAAAAAAAAAAAAAACAAAGAAGAACACACATTTAGTCTTTTGGATGGATCGCTTTAACTTAAAGGTTAACCTCAAAAACGAAAACTAGATGACAGACATCTTTCTTCTCTTTTTCTTTCCCACAACATGAAAAGGGCCTCACGTTACGTTCTCTCTCTCTCTCTCTCTCTTTTTCTCTGTCTCTCTCCGTCTGTGTGTCTGCAACCTCCCCAGTGGCAGTAGACTGCGAATGCCCTGCAGCTGGCAGCTTGACTAATTGTGATCCGTAAAAATCACAGCAACGAATCAGGAAAACTAGAAGGGGCTGCCATTTCCTTTGGATCCTTTAATATTATATCTTCTTTTAAATTATTTTTGCTCCTCTTTCTTTCGTCCAGATAATCAGCAGTTTTGGAACCAATACATTTAGAAATTTCAAGAATTTCTGTTCGAAATTAAAACATATTTTCTAATTGGCATAGTTTGAAAACTTTTGAGGTGTTTTCACAATTTCATTTTAGTTTTGTAGCTTCGGTTTTGGCAATTTTGGTCCCAATTCCTAACTCTATTAAAATTGAATTAGACATTGCTTACTTCTTATATGGTTTATTTTTAACAAATGATAATTATTTACTATAAGAAGAGGGTGAACTTAGCATTACAATTGACTAGTAATGATGTGATTCAAATTCGTCTTTGGAGAGAATCAAACTTAAGACCTCTGATTTATATGTTAAAAGTTATTAATTCTTATTTGCAACTTATAGTCTAACATGTACAAAAGACTAAATAAAAATCACAAAAAATATAATTTTATGCACAACACCACTTATTTGACCTGCAAATGACAAAGATTAGCGTAAAACCTAATATTAATAAAACTATTTACAATAAGTTAGAGAGTAAGATATTTTGAACTCCAAATAACAGTGTGTTAAATTGTCATATGCCACTATATACATGCACACATGTTAAATTCTAATATGTATGCAAGAAGAACGATTTTCTGTTGTAAATATGGATGACATTATTTGGTTTGAATGGACCTTCAATTGTGGGACAAAGTCAAAGAAAGTGGCTTGGTGGAGAGGCACACAAGTTAAAAAATTTCTATCTAATCCTCCTAATCAGCACATTTTACAATTCCTATATAACGGTCAATGATAGCTCACAAATGATATACATGATGTTGAAAAGAAATATATCAGTAAACTACAAAGCTAGAGAGGAGAAAAAATAATGAGAATTATTTTTGTTGAACCTCATAAATATTATCTTTTTTATTTTGTATTCCACTACACATCGTCGATTTCACTGCATTCCCACATATTATAAGGAGACAAGTAACTTTCGATTTCACAACATTCTTACATATCAATTTAACATTGCAAAGTGAATGTCTCATATGTGGCTAGTTTGACATTGGTCATGCATTGACTTTCTGTTTTTCCAACCCTTGATTGTAGTTTTCTGTAATTTCTAGCTAGAATTTGTCAACAATCGAGCATTATCCTTATGTTAATAGTTTAAGTTGACTAGTTAACAAGGGCTGGGAAGCAATTTGGACTAAGGAGAACTATCTTAAAATCTCAAAAAGACAAGAAATATTATTTTGGAAAATGAGAAGAACTGTACATTTCATATTCTAAAAGTTAAGGGTTTTGATTCGGATTTACATTTAGGGATCATTTTGTGTACATAATCGTTATTTTAGCCAGATATAAATTGGCCCGGTAGATAATACTGTTCTCTTTAATTTAACTAAACCAGTTCCTTCCGATTAATATAATTTAAAATAGTATTATTGTTCATAATAAAAAAATAAAAATAAACTTCTTAAAAAATAAAAACAACAACGTGATATTACTAATTCATTCTTTTAAGCTAAACATACATAACTTTATCGTTTGACCATACTAGACGTATAAACTCCATCGTTTGAGAGCATTACTAGACTTATAAACTCCATCGTTTGAGAGCATTGATGGGACGATACGACCGTGACACATGAGAGTTTCACCCAGCTGAGTTTTAACAGCAGTTAAACCTCATTAAATGTTCATTGTAACTAGTAATATCTATAACTTGTATTTACTGCAAGTCACTCCTACTCACTTCCCAGCTGCAGATAAAACCAGTTAGACTTCAAACAACAGTTTCCTTTTTCGTATTGTTCCTTTCACTATTCTGCCTCCCCTCTGCACCTCTCTCTCTCTCTCTCTCTCATTGTGGTCAGTCAGAACCCCCATAACCGACCACCACCACCATACCCCCCATTTATTCACTTCCTGTTCCTTCCTTTTATCCACTCCACAAATTTAACCAAAACCTCTCTCTCTCTCTCTCGCTTATTGCCTTTGAAGTTACTTTCAGAGAAATTGGCAAGTGGGATTTCAAGATCTTTTTTGTAAACTTATTATCCTTGAAGGGTTGTGTTTAATTTAATCTGGGGGATGACTGCATGGTGACATGATATGCACATCATATATATATATATTTATATTTTCACTACCATGAAAAACTCATTTTATCTTCATTTGAAAGCCACCAGAGCCATTGTCTTTCTGCATTTTCTTCTCTCTTCAATTCCAGCCTTTTGTTTTACTGCTCATCTGCCTCAGCCTCTCTCTCCTCCTCTTCGGGTAAGCACAAACATTTACCCTTCAATTAATTTAGGCCCGTTGATAACCATTTCATTTTGTTTTTTGCCTTTTTGAAAACTGAAAATCGAAAAATGAAAAATGAAACTCAAATTTTGAAAAATCACATAAATAGTTTTCATGTTTGAAAAACTGAAAACGAAATGGTTATTAAACAGTGTCTTAATTTTCATTTTTATTTCTGATCAAATTGAAACAAAATTAAGGTTATAATTAGTTAATTAATGTTGTGCTAAAAATCGTGCAGGGCATGTTATTTGAGGAGAAAACCAGGCTGGGTTCAGATCCACCAAGCTGCCACAACAAGTGCAATTATTGCCACCCATGCGTGGCGGTTCAAGTGCCCACCATTTCCAGCCACGAGCGGCGGGTCGAACCAGGCATGACCCGAACCATCCCCATGATGTTCTTTGACCCATCTCATCCAGGTACCAACAAGTACTCGAATTACAAGCCTCTGGGTTGGAAATGTCACTGTGGCGATCACTTTTTCAACCCCTAGATTTAATTCAAACTTCCGTTGAATTAATTGGAAATGTTATGTCGAAATTAGAGGAGATGGATTTTGATTTGATTTGTAAACTATGAATTTTCTTCATTTAGTTTGTGATTTGTGATTTTGTGATTTTGTAATTTTGCTTTAGGGAGTTCACGGGATAAATTTACACTCGAGAAAATATTATATTATACAATGTACATAAAATTGTAACAAACTTCTGACTCCAGCTTCGTTGTTACTCTATCTCTTTTCGTCGTTTTCATGTTTGTGAATTGTGATGTCTTTTATTTCTTTTATTTCCTTTATGCCTTGTTCAATTAAAATATAATGAGCAAAAATGAGTTTTATACTCTTTTTCTCTACTTCTAACACCTTGTTTGTTACCGCTTAGTATTACGCATTTAGCATTACAGTATTGATATCACTCTTTATATGTAAGTGAGAAGTTTTAGGTTCGATTCTCGCAAAAGACAAATTTGAACCAAATCATTGTTAGCACATTGTTAGATTTAGCCCACTTCCTTCTCTTCTCTCAATGTAGATAATATTGTTTGTTTAAAAAAAAAAAAACACCTTGTTAGTTTTTGTCTGTTGATATTCTTTACTTCAGTTTATCTAAACGCTCATAAATATGTGATGTGCTCTTGGATAAAAATAGTGTGTTGAATCAGTTTCCTTACCAATTAGGCTATTTTGGTACGCGAAAATGAAATTTTTTTTTTTTCTGTATATGGTAATCATGGAAGGAAGTATCAACTTTTAGGTTATAATGAGCATTTTGTTTTCAATGAGAATTGTTATTAGCACTTCAAAAATCTTATTCTACACTCCAAAACTTTCTATATTTGGAAAGAAAAATACACTTGTGAGGAGTGTAGAATGAGATTTTTGAAGTGTCAATAACACTTTTCTTTTCAATTATGTCATAAAAAAGCAATTAATGTTTTATGTTAGTTTGGCGCGAGGAAGGAAATGATTGCCTGATGTGGATGGAGGACGTCACTTTCCGCCCTACTTTCCTACAAACCAAACACACCCTTAGTCCTTAGTGTGTTGTGTTGGTCCCTGATCTGCAAATTAGGTAGCGGTTTTTACACCTTCGAATTTTACATTTGCAGTCATCTTCTTAATTTTGTGTCAAATGTGAAAATGTTCTTACGAAGCTTCTATTCCAGTTAGTTTGTACGTCTACCGGCAGCGATTTTAATTTTTTTTAGTCACCTTTGAAGTGCAGAAAACTTTAAAAAAGGAGTGTCACAATTGAAAAGAAATTGAGAAAAATGATTGTTTGGTAGCACAAATGTTTAACTAACGGCCATGTAAGCAAAGCTAGAAGTTGGAATAGGGCAAAGTAAATAGAAATTGACTAATTGAGAGACAAAGTGTAACAAATGAAATTTCAGGAACGAGTCCGGCTACAATAGTAAATATCACTTAGTGTTACGAATTTTTTATTTATTTTTATAATATAGCAATCGTAAAGATTTATTAGATCTTTATATGAAAGATCAAACCGTCGATTTTTTGAACCACTCAATGATACATATCATAGAAGAAAAGTTGCTTGAGAAAGTGAGACTAGGTGGAGTTTTAATAAGTATTTCAATAAAAGAGCTACGGAATGCTACTGAGCTAAAACTATGGAAAAATTTCTTCTAAATATTATGTAGCGTTATATGATACGAAAATAAATGACTAAGATAAAAAATAAAAAATCTAAATAATTGTGAAAATTAATCTAACAATTAAAAACTCTAATAGTATTAAATGATTCAATGATATGTAGCATTGAAAATTGTATTCAAAACAATTAAAAGACCAGTTTTCAAACTACAAACTACTGATTTGGCTTGGCTACTGTTATCCACGCAACACTTTTTACCTCTATACATTTTTAGTTGATTTTTGGACATCAGAGCAAAACTATTAAAGATGATTAAATAATAAAAATTAATAAAAAATATGGGTAATGTAAAACAGAATAATCTTTACCCTTATCCGATGAGATGCATGGCCCGTCATCGTGTATATTATACATCACTCTCTGATCACCGGTCCTCTCCCATATCTTTTGGTTACTGTAACAATCTTCATCACACTGACCAAAATGTCTCGACACTCAATGCGTGATGTCGTACAGTTCCAGGGTTATTTTGGTAATAACGATTTTTTTTCTTTTTTCTTTTTGCCCTAACCTCCTACGCTTGCATGATCCGTACTACCCTATAGGTTCTAGGTCGGTATTCTACATAGCATGCCTTGAGTTTGGTTTCTGATGGGAATTGCACGATCAAAAGAGGCTAAAATGCCTATATAAGTCTTTTCGACTTCCAAAATAATAAATTGTAAGGGAACTGTTATTAGCACTTCAAAAATCTCATTCTACACTTCTTATAAGTGTAATTTTCTTTCTAATTATAAAAAATTTAGAATGCTAAATGAGATTTTTAGAATGCTAATAACAATTCACAAGTGTAAACTCTTTACATATAAATCATTCTTGTTTTCTGTTTCCTAGATTCTAGAGACCAATAATATAGGCTGAAAAGGGCATTGTCTCGGTCAGGTTTCAACAAACGAAACGGGACCAATATTTGCCACGGAGATTATTATAATGTAGGTCAATCAACAAGGGTCAACTGCTCAGTAGAGGGAGAGGGGTCTTTATATAGAGTATCCGATGCTCTTAAAATCCGACGCACGAATAAATTACAAAATACAAATATTATTTTATTAACAAAAAAAAAAAAAAAAAAACAATTTGTAAAGATGGCCAGAACAGACTTACATGTCCCAAATGAATTTCAAACATCTTATTTATAGAGAATTAACTCTAACTTTTTTTTTAAAGTACAATAATATATTTAACACTAAGAGAAGAAGGAGTTCGGTTAAACTATACAATTGAAAATTTAATTTGGTAACGAATTCGCGAACCTAGTTAACTCTAATCCTCATATGGAAAGAATCGAAATCCTTAACTTACAGCAAAACCCTAAGACACAAGATACCAAATACCCTTACATACCAAAAAACCAAATAGCTAACTTAGAAAGTAACGCAATGCCTTCTGCGGAGGCGTCGTCTTTTTTTTTTCTTTTTCAAATATTTCTTTTTGGTTCTTCATCATTCAAATGCCTTCAAACTTCATCTATTGAATCCATGAAAAGTTATTATACTTCTACCACGGGCACTTGATTTACCTTGATGATTGGCATTGTTCTTTGCAACTTCTATAAATTCATAAAGTCCAGCTAGATATTTAGGATGTCGACGATCCCTATTGTATGTCCATGATAATATCTATGCACTCTTGTTCCCTAATATGAATCTATGTTATCAAGAAGCTCCAATCCAACCTCCTGAACTACCAGTTTTCCGAAGGGTTACAAAACTCCAAACCGCCAGAAAACCCTCGCCTCTTTCCCTCTCCAGAAAATCGTAACCTGCAATCGTCTTAGCCGCCAGCCTCTTGCCATGCTTTGGGGCCGATGGCAGTCCATCCCTATCTCCTCCTAGCTTCCCTTTCCTTTCTTTCTTCCCTCAGCCTTCCTTCTCCTTCCTTCTACTCCACCTCCCTTTCCCCTTCTCTCTGCGTTTCAAAACATTTCCTTCTTCCATCCCCTCTTTTTCTCTCCCACCATTTTGTGCACTGCTGTCCCATGGCTTTGGGTCTCCTTCCTAGATCCGGGTTTTTCCCTTCTCAAGGTCTCCTCCTTGATTTGGGTTCGATTTGGGGTTTGGGTTTAGATTGGGGCTTTTGGTGGATCAGAGCCACTTCTGTCATACTTTCCCGGTGCTGTGATACTCCCATCGACTTATTATGTGGATGCGTCGCCTTCTGGGCCCAGATCTATTGCTGCGCCATCTAGGTCGTGCATGTAAGAGTATGACTATGATTCTTACAAATTTTGGGATAATTGATATTATAAAGAAATCTAAATAATGTTTACAAGAGCTAATCCAATCATATTGGTATATTGAGGACTCTTGTGTTTGCTCGTTTATAGGACTTATACTACTATAAGGAATGCAGTCTTCTATTCCTTGTAGGATTGTAATCGGGCAATCTATGTTTAATATAAAAACATAAGCCACTGCTATGACTAAACTAAGATTATGCAATTGATGAGGAATCGGGAACCAATTGGTTCATATCTCTGGTTTCTTTATTGGTTGTGCAAGTACATTGTGCTTATGCTTAAGTGGGAGAATCATATGTTTGAATGTAAGCATAAGGCTAAGAGTATTTAGGCTGGCCATTTTGTGTTACTTAATTTGTTTAAGTAATGAGAAGGATCCTATTATGTCGGTTAGCATTCAAAAGGAAACGAATTTGGTTTCCATATGGATTTTGATTAGTCATTCATTGTATTGGAATGATTTTTAGTTAATATAGTTGCTATTAACTCATACTTAACTTGGTTGTGTTAAGTATGGCCTAGATAAGTGGGAGCAAATTGGTTTGGTTTTGCTATATTGGTTCACATAATTACAAAGTGCAAATTAAGTATGTTGTGAGTTTCGAGTTAATTTTGTGATGTAAAAGAAAAGATTCTTACGTTCAATACTTTAAAATGCATAGGTAAGCTGTATGTGCGGTTAAGCTTTTGGTATCCAAAAAATTTGGTGATCACTTCTATGAATATGATAAAGTCGTTGATTGGATCATAACTACGCTATTCATACAATTATGAATAATTTAAGTTGGTAGCTTACTATTGAGAATGTTTGGTAATTTTGATATCAATTTTGGGCTATATGAGTGGGAGTAGACGTCTTGGTTTACTCTTGAACTTAGATACTGTAAGACCCCATATTTTAAAAATAAATATTTGTTGTTATTATTATTAATATATACCACGTGCCTAGCTCCTATCAGTATTAGTCTTAATTATCTTGGGAGACAGAAATGGGTGATTAGTAAGCACTCTAGTGTGCTGATTTTGCAAGGCTATTTACTTGGATGTGTCATCCGTTGCACACATGCAATTGACACCTTGCATAACAAGTGACTAAGATCTTGATGCTACAGTAGGTGTCGCAAGGAAAGTATCACCTTCATACACACGTAGGAGTTTACGGATAGGACTTCATATATTTTATTGTATATTTTCCTTGGACCTCAGTTCTTGGAGCCGTTCTATTTCCCTATAATTAGGAGCAAAGGCTCCATTCTTTTGAAACCACAGAAGCATGCAATGCATGCATTACGTAGAGATGATGTATATATAGCATATATCTATGTATATATATATATATGTATGTACGTGTGCGGGTATATATATTATATATGTATAGAGAGAGATAGAGAGCTAGGTTGTCTTGCCAAAGCTCAGATTTATCGAGGTGAGTGGTTTATGTAATGTGTTTCAAAGTATTCTTAAACGAAAGTCATGAGTTATCGTGAGATTTTTCTATATTTCAAATATCTCTCTATTTCAAGTCAAGCATGTTGGATTTTGTGAAGTACTTTCAGAGTTATTATATATATCTGATCAGTGAATTGTTTGAGATGTTAATGAAGCATGAGAACTTTGGTGTTGCATTAATCCAACGGATAAATGTAAACTACACATAGGGACATTAGGGCAGATGGCCATTAGGGATCACGTGGTGAGTTACAATTTATGAAGGATATAATGAACACGTGAAGGGATGATATGATATGGCATTATGTGTATAATGATTGGATATTATTATCCTATTTTATAGTGTGATTAAAATGGCAAGCTTGACTGGCATACTATATATTCTACTCACTAAGCGACGGTGGTTGTTGCTTACCCCTCACCTATTATTTTACAGATGAGTTATTTGGCAAAACAGGTGTCAAAAGAGCTGAGGTTATGATTGAGGAGAAATTTCAGTATTTTAATTTATTACTTTTGTACACCTTGTAAGGATTTTGGAGTTATTTTTAATAAGAGGAGTTCATTTTCTAACCCGTGTCAATTTCCCTCTTATTTATTTAGCTTTTAACTCACGTTTCAGATTCGGGTTTGAGTTTTTATTACCGACTTGGGTTCGGGGCGTGACAGATACATTGCTATGAACATGAACTAGACATTGTGATTTGTAAGTTAAATCTGTGTGTTGTGTTGCAGAGGCAATTATAAATTCATTGTTTTGGTTTATGTAAGCTTGTTTTGTCTATGTACTAGTGTGTTGATGAATGACTTATG